CCCCCCCCTCCCCACAAATTTATAAAAAATTAAACCCTTACCGTACGACCCCAAAAAGCCAAAATAAAAAAAAAAACTGCAGATCTAATTAAAATATGGAAACGATTTCAAAAATCTGCAACGAGTTTTGGCAAGCAATAGTGACACGACGAGCATTCAATCTTTATTTGTGTTAAAATAAAAAAAATAAATGTACACATAATATCAATCAAGGGCCTTTACATTTCTTTTAAGCCTTTTTGATTCAATCAATTTTTAATCTTTATATTCATTTACGACATTAACATCCAATCCACTTTTAAAAGTCAAAATCCAAAGACAAAATGTACAGGGGGCACTGAAGCAAACAACAGAGGTTCCTTGTGAATTGTTTTCAGATCAAAGTCTGTTGCTTTCAACATAAAAACTTTTATTTCCAAGTTAGTTAGTTTAGTTTAAAGAAAAATTTTTTTTTTGTAAGTGATCTTTGCATAATACTTGTGTATGATTAACTAACTGGAAGCAAATAGAAATTTCCCCACAATAGATATTGTTGTGTTCCTTATTATTATATAATTTACTTGATAAATATTATTGATGATAAAATAAAATGGATGACATTCAATTATTGTTTTTGATATTTATTTTTTGATTATTACTTTTATTATTGTTCAAATAATCAAAGAAATCAATGTTGGCAAATATGAGACAAAAAGCAAATGAGTAAAGACTATTTGAAAACAAATTAGTTTATAAGTTTTATGCAAACACCAAAAGTTATTCATTAATTTGATTATTGAAAAAAACTAGGCTTATATTTTTACTAAATAAAAAAATTATTGATATTTACAAACACAAAGTGAATTGTTGATAAGAATAAAAATTTATTATAATTGGATCTTTTTTGTTTTCTTTATAGCAAAAAACATTGTTGTTATAAAATTTTTTATGAGGTTAATAATTATTTACCCGATTTGAAATCAATTCGAATTTTCCACCTAAAATCATCCGGGTAAATATCCACCCGGCGAGGTAAAATAGGATAAGCCTATTTTGTACAACTTCCCCTTTCTATCCCTGTCCGAATGTGCTGGATCCGAAGGACATATAAAATTTCAGCATGATGGAAGTTCGATTTATCACATTTATCACTTAGTGATGATCTCAAAATTATGTTGTGTGAATATATAATTTTAAAGTAGTTTTGTATAAAATCACGTTTTCAATTGACAAAAAAATTATTTACATAATAATAATAATATTCAAATAAACTTTATAATTATATGTAAAATAGAAAAAAAATATAGTTTCTACCTTGGACATCTAGATAACTTCAATACCCATGTACTCTTACTAGAGGTGAGGAAAATCAAATATTAACTTTCACTCTACTAAAGAAAATTTATTTACATAATAATATTCAAATAAATTTTGTAATTGTATGTATAATAAGAAAAAAACCATAGTTACTACTTTGGACATCTAGATAACTTCAATACCCACAGAGTCTTATTAGAAGCAAAGTCTGTGTCTCATAGCAATTCCTTACCCACTAGGATTCAAAAAATATAATTACTTTTAGAGAGATTCTATGGATATGTTTTTACTTTCTATTACTGAAACATTTTAATACAATTCAAATCAAATTCATGAAGTTTATTGGAAAAGACTTTTTATATCATAGTTTCCTACTCTATTATTAAACTATTTTTATATACAATTTAATTATAGATAAGTAATTCTTACTCTATCTATTATGAATAAAGGCTATTACAAATTTAAGAAAGACTGCAGTAGATGTAGTTTTTATTGAATGGAATATTGACGTCCTATTTATCTATTACTGTATTAATACTTGTTTTTATTAATAATTATATATGCAATTAATTATCCGAGTATGATGTAATATGGTAAATGGATATGGATATATATTAATATTAATATTAAATATTATTACTCTATAATCAATTCATAAATAGAACATTATGCAAATTTCTTTGAAAGATTTAACTTTCTCTAATGTAATGGTATCAAATATAATACTAGCCCATTAAAAGCAGTAGTGGCAGTAACAATAGCAGTAACAATAAGCAATAGAACAAGGGTGAGATGGTGGTGGTAATAGTAATATTGGATAAACTCTCGCGTATATATACACACATTAAATTTTATTTGCTGTGATCAACGTTACACATTCCATATAAATCTTGATAATACATGAATTCCCTTTTATTATATATTTTCCTTTAAAAATTAAAAATTAAAAAATAATAAAATAAAAACAAAAGTGAACCAATTATTATTTTTTGTTAAGGAATTTATTTACTTCTTAAATAATATTTTGATAAGTTTGTTGGTTAAATTTGGTTAATAAAGTAATTGACGGAATTTTAGATCAATTAACGAAAGAATACAACTCAAATCAGTGCAACATACTTTGTAACAATTTAGAAAAGATTGGCATATTTTGGTAATATTTAGAAAGAATTGGCAACGATACTATCTCTCTTTGGAAATTTTCGAAAGAAAAGGAAAATTTTCGTTTCACAAAATTGATTGCGTTTTATAAATCTTTTGATCATGATCACTCTTCCAAATTTTTTTAAAACGTTCAGAGGTTGTATTTATAATAAGTAAAAAAAAAAAAATACGAAAAAGAAATCACTTGATTAAAATCGAGCCTTTTCCAAAAATGTGTTGTTAAAGAAAATTAATTAAGCTTTTTTTGAAAACGATCATCTTTTGCTACTAAAAATACCAGCAAGAAATTTATGGCAAGCCAAACAATTCAAAAGTCATTTTGAATTATGATGTGCATCGTTTTAATTTATGGTGTGCATCATTTTAATTTATGGTGCGCATTGTTTTTATTTATGATGTGCATCGTTTTTATTTAATGGTGTGCATCGTTTTTATTGGGATGCTGGAAAAGGACGGGGGACGGGTTCAAGCCACACCTGCCCGTCCCCCGTCCTTTTCACGTGTCCCGTTTTTATTTATGATGTGTGCATCGTTTTTATTTATGATCATGTATAAAATTTCAAGTTAAAATATTTTTTGATTTGTTTAAATTTAATTAAAAATGAATAGTTCTCAAATACAAAACCAAGTAATTGAACATGTTCAGAATACTTTAACAAGAGCAAATAGTGTCTTGATTCAATCTGATGACTCAGATTATTTACAAAATCAATTGATTAATCTTGAAAGAACTATAAGTTTGCTGTCCCATTTAATTTATAACATGACTAAAAGTAGCATTCATTATCAAAATTTAATTCAGAATTTAATTTTATCTCAGCAAACATATTAACAATTAAATAATAAAATATTTCTACTAATTGACCAAGTTGGCCCTGAAATGCTTTTTGTAAGCCCAAAAATCATCAGGTGGTAGACCAAAATTAGAAGTTTCTGAAAATGCAATAATTCTATTGTGTTCAGAAGGATTCTCTTGGGTAGATATTGCCAATATCTTTGGAATAAGCATTACAACATTATATAGAAGACAATGTGATCTAAATATTTTAAACATTCCTTCATATAATGAAATTTCAAACAATGAATTGGATCAAATTATTTTGAATATAAAAGAGTCACAACCATATTCGGGTCAAAATATACTAATGGGTGCTTTGAAGAGTAGAAGTGTCAGAATAACACGTGAATGTTTAAGAGAAGCATTAAGAAGAATTGATCCTTTGGGTATGGCAAATAGGTGGGCAGAAATTACACCATGTCGTAAATATAAAGTTTCAGGCCCAAATGCACTGTGGCACATTGATGGTCACCATAAGTTAATCCACTGGAAAATAGTCATACATGGTGCCATAGATGGTTATACACGTTTGATTACCTATTTACATTGTAGTAATAATAATTACTCCTCAACAGTTTTACAATATTTCTTAAAGGCAGTACAAGTTCATGGTATTCCTAGTAGGATTAGAGGTGATCATGGAGGAGAAAATGTTGATGTTGCTGCTTGGATGTTGAATGTTAGAGGCCTTGATAGAGGAAGTTACATTGCTGGTAAATCAGTCCATAACCAACGAATTGAGCAATTATGGCTGGATTTGTACAGATGTATTGTTAAGGTTTATGTTGGAATCTTTTATTTTCTTGAAGAGCACTATGGGTTAAATCCTGATAGTGATTTAGATCTATTCTGCTTACATTATGTATTTATACCAAGAATTGAAGCTTCATTGTATAAATGGGAGCAATCATGGAACAACCACTCAGTACAAACAGAAAGTCATTATACACCAAGACAGTTATTTATAAGATCTGCAATAAGTGGGAATGCTGTTTTAGATTATGCTGATATAAATGTTGATGATGAATATGGAATAGATTGGAATGGACCAACTCCTCAAGTAGAATATCAACAAGTAATTGTTAATGAGGTAAGAAATATTTTGTCACCATTACAATTCCAATATTTACAACAGTCAGTAGATGTTACAAATAGTGATGGAAATTATGGAATCAACAAATATTTAGAAGTACATAATTTGGTATCACATTTATTACAAATTAATTATTAATTAATAAAATATCTTTATTAGGTGGATGGGTTTTCATCAATATTTTATCATCCTCCTCCCTTCCTCCATTATTATCATCCCCTTTATTCTCTGCCTTCTTTTCTTTGTCTATTGTACACCTTTTTTTTAAATAAAAGTATGAAATACAGAATATAATCATATTTTTCAAACAACATGAATATATTAATGTCATCACATGAAGATTTTATGTTTTTATGTCACAAGTTCTATGTTGTTTCATGAAGATGCTTATTTTTTACAAAACATACTTAAAATTAGGGATGTTAATTTGCTTTGGTGGAGCATAACTAAACTGAGTTTAAACACAAATTCAATTTAATATTTTTAATATCTGCTTCAAACATGCTTTCAATTATACTTTAAAGATGACATCATAAATAGTTTGATAATTTTCATCTTTAATAAATTATAACATGACTGAAGAACAAATTCTAGAATATAATATCAATATGTTTTTTTCTACTGAAACCTTACAAATGATAATATTATGCTAAATGAAAATATGTTGCAAGATATGCTTGAACCATTCCATTTGATGATTCAAATCATCATTGCATATGATATCTCAAATTAAATCACTCACCAAAATGATGAAAAATTGATCCTACTTAAAATACATAAACAAAAAATATGATCCCTAATTATTTGCAAAAAATGTACGAATGTATATACTTATTTTATTAGTGTTTTAATATAACTTATTTTCTACCACTTATACAAAAATAAAATTAAGCAATTTTAATTTGAAGTTAAAAATACTTAATTTCCACTATACAAAATTAAGATAATAATAAATCCTTAATATTCAACTTACATGGCTCCAAGTTCACAAAATCTCTTATTATTTTTTTTATTGTTTATTTTATAGACACCTCTGTCTCACACATTTAATATATATATATATTAAAACACTGATTATCCCATTGAATCAACTTCTTCGTTGATATGAATGATTTCTTCCTCAAATCCCTCATTAAACTTGGAAAAAACAGAATTCAAAACTACATGAAGATTGCCTATTTCATTATTGTCATAATCTTCACATAATTTTAATTTGTAGAAGCAAGTTTCAGCCTTGGGAAGATTTTGCCAATCCTTTTCACCTTTATGAAACCAATTAATCTAATATAATGATATAAAATTAGCCAAAAAACAAAAAAATATATTAAATGTACGAAAATTAATATGTATATTACCATTATTTTTTGTTTAGTTGGAATGTGGATAGACCCAGTTATCATCTTTAAAACATTCTGGCATTCTATAGGTTTTGTTAACGATTTTATGTAAATTAAAAATTTAAGATATATGGAATCTCTTCTAGAAATTGGAACACCTTTTGAATCATACAAAGTAGCTTCAATCTTTAATAAATCAAATTGATTTAAAAGCTCTTTGCAATTTGTCACCACTTGATACAAAACAGAGCTCATGCTATCCCAACCTCCTAAACTATTTATTGTCTGTAATTTTCAATGAAACCTAACTTAATTAATAAACACATAATCTGCACTATTTAAGGGAAACAAATAAAGAAAATATAAAATCAACCTTAATTATGTCCAGTTTGTTAAAACCTTCTTTAAATTGCAGCAATTCCTGTTTATGTGTATTAATTACTTCATATTGAGAAATATAATTAGCCAAATCATTTTTTTTAAATGTATTTAAAAAGGACATCTAAAAAGAATATCCAATATGCAGTTAAAAATTGAATTTTCATATTTTTTATTACATTTGAAAAAATTTTTATCACTCTTAAGTCTTGAAACATGACACCCTTAAAATAAAAAATGCCACCTACTTTAATATCATTAGAAATTGACCATTCTTTTAAATCATCAATGTTTTTGAAGTCACCTGAAGGAGAATTAATTATTGATTCAACCAATTTGTCAACAACTGGAAACATTTCAGATACTATATCCTTGAATTCAATCTCTTTTCCAAAACAATATTTTAAGTGAAATGGATGAATATAATGTGGATATGGACCACCATGAATAAGTGCCCAAGAAAGAGCAATTCCAAAAATTCGATACATTTCATGATAATCTAACATGACAGTATTGTGTGACATTATCAAAAAATTAGAGTTATGTGAATCTTCAAATAATGGCCACATTTATAAATTTCTTCCAAAACATTGAAGAAAACTGTTTCCAAAATGTGTGCACTACATCTCTATACACACCTCCTGAATCTATTGCTCTAAAATATAAAATATAAAATATAAATAAAATTTTAAATTGCATGTATTATGAAATTAATAATAATCAGTGTTCAGAAGTAATTGAATTTTGATACAACATAGTAATAATAAATTACCGTTCAGTTATGAACCTAATTGTTGGTTTTAATAGTAATGCCTCATCGTTTGCATTACTAATCCATTTAATTAGATCTTTAAGTATTGTTTCACTGGATCCAATATCGATGTTAATTTTTCTGTCATTCAATTTATATTTTTTATCATAAAAGTCATATAAAGACTTATTTATATCATCAAGGTTATCAAAACTATAATTTAAATACTCTGGAGATGAATCAAATAATGTGCTTGTATGGTCCACATGATAATTTTCTGGAGAAATGTTAAAAAGTGCATTGTTGTTAGAAAAAGATAAATCACTATTTGTTGATTCAAGTATTTGTTGATCTAATAAAAATTTTATATCAAGTGGCTTATCAGTTGGTCCAATATATAACTTTTTATTACTCCCTGCTACTCTAAAATTTTAATAAAAATATAGAAAATTAAAAATAAAAAAATTTTAAAAATAAATTTCGTATCAAAATTTTGCAAATCTATTTATCTATTTTTTAGGTAATCAAAATTTTACATACTTTTTAATTATTTGCAAAACATATCCAGAGTTTCCTCGTTGAATTGGATAAAGATCTGAGCCAGCAGGCTTATAAAAACACCATTGGTCTTTTTGTAACAAACTAAATTCCGATTCTATAGTTGAACAAATAATATTGTTATTCTCACCAGGGAAAATTATCTCTTTGATCAAATTAAGTCTCACTAAGTTTTTATAACTGAACAAAAAAAAATAGATTAGCATTTTATAATACATTTAAGTCATAAATAAAGTGTTATGCAATTAAATAATACTTACTACTCTGTACCAGATCTAGGGATTGTAGGAACCTCAGAAAAATTATAAACATCCTTTATGCAAATAATGGTAAAACATACAGTCTTATTATTCTTATTACTACCAACCTCATTGATATTTGTTTTTGTTATACGTTTCTTTTTATTAAAATTTAATTAATGAGGATCAAATTTAATCATATCAGGTGAAAAGGAACCTTCACCATTGTAGTTTGTTTGTTTATTATTATTATAATTAAAAAGCTCATTTATGTGATCCTTCACTGTTGCTGGATATAAAGGATTTGTTTGTGGAGTTGAATAATTCAAATTATTGAAAGCTAGTAACTGGCTATTGTTGGATTCTCCATCTCCTCCAGCCTTTGTAGAGTGAAATGTATTTTGGTGGTTACATGTTTGACAAATATTACTATTATCTTGTTTAGTGAACTTCCAGCAAGAACATTTATTTCCATTATTAAAAGCAAAATGACAAGACATCTTTAAAATTAAATGTGAAATTAGGGGCTCATTTTTTTTTTTTTTTTTTTTTTTTATAATGTTAACAAACAACATCATAAATTAAAATGATATAACATAATTTAAAACAATACACATCATAAATGGGGAATGCTGCAACAAAACCAGACAAAGTGAACATTGTTGTTACCAATGATTTCAGGGTCCAAAATTTAGTCATTTGTAATGTGATTATATAATTAACAGTTTTATAATATCTCATTTGCTATCTTAAGTGATATATAGAATTACCTCTATATAAAAATAGTTAATATGAAACTCATTTACATCCGATCTACCATGGAACCAAAGAATTACAGCACCATTAGAAGTATTTTAAAAAAGGAACAGGGTGAAAAAGTTGCTCCTTATATTTTCAAAATAAATGATACTCAAACACTAGAAGCTTATCTAAGAAAAGAAAGGATTACCTATGAAATTTATCAAAGGAAAGAGTTTTCAAAAGAGTATTAGAAAATTCTAGTAAAGAATCAAGAAAAAAAAGAAAACTGGCAGAATAACTAAAACAAATAATTACTTTTTTTTCAACTTT